GGGGACGTCTCCTCGCCGGCGCAGGAGGGTCTTTGCAGGAGGAAGGGGCTGGGGAGCTGAGCTCTGACCCGGCGGCTGCCGCTCCTTTTCGCAGGTGAGATGGAAAAACACTTGCGCCTCTTCGCAGAGCTGCTGCCCGACTGGGTGGGGATCCACGCCGTCAGGACGGACACCTACATCAAACTGGACAAAGGGAAGGACCTCGGCCTCGTCACGGAGAGGCTCACCAAGGCGGCAAAGGAGGCAGAAGCCCTCTGAGCCCCCCAAGGGTCGAGGCTTCCCCCGTGCAATCTCCTCTAAATGTAGCAAATCCCGACTGCGCTCCGGGATCTGGTGTGGGCTGACGGGAGGCTCATCCTCGGGGATCTCTGAGGAAGAGCAAAACGCCTTAATTTAACCGTTTCCTCTGCCAGGGTCCATGGGGACTGTAGCTGCCCTAACCCTCGAGCTGAAGGCAGGCTCTCCTGGGTCCTGGGGAGACGATGCTAAGCGGTGAAGAGGAGCTAGTAACCTCTTCTTGGCTTTGCTGTGTTCTCCTGAAGGTTTGATGCGGGAGGTTTCTTCCATTAACTGGGCCCTGGTGGGGTGGAGGCAGGACTGGGCAGGGTGAGGGGGTGACAGGCAGGAAGGAGTGAGAGAAGAAGTCACAAACTGATGTTTTTGGAGCTCTGGGCCTCGTTCTGTTTTTAAGGGAGGGAAAAGCATCTCCAGCGCTTGCTGGAAACGACTACAGGACTTGTCAAAACATACTTGTATTAAATGTTTTAAATATGGCTGATTCGCGTTAACCCAGCGCTCTTCCTCCGTGAGCTGCCTTGTCTGCGCGCCGCGTTAGCACCGCGGTTCACCATGGCAATTGGCGCCAGCCGGCACACGCAGGGAAGGGCTGGGTCGTCATCCAGCTCCTGGAGAAAGACTTAACTGGAAAAAGTGAGCGTGGGTTTGCAGGGAACTGAATGCGGCTTTTGTAAATAGGGACTGTGGAGCAGCTCCCGCGGGGACAGGAGCAGGCAGGGCCGGGGGTGGGCGCAGGCGGGCTTTTTCCCAGGGGAAAGCCTGGGTCACTCGGCTGAAGTGGCTTGGGAAGAGGGACAAAGAGGGTGCTGATTGCTGCAGAGGTGCTGGCCTGGCCCAGCGCCCAGGTCAGGTCAGCGCTCGCTGCAGGAGGGGCAGCGTGGGC